TTCTAGCAAAAATATAAAATTTTAAATTTATGATTGATTTTTTTAAAAATTGTTTTTGAGTAAATTAATCTATGATTAGTAACTAATTCAGTCTTACTGCAATATTTTTAAATGCATTCCACTTATTGTCACAACAAAAATACTATCTGAAAATCATATAATTTAGAATTGTTTTCGAGAAATAATAATTCGGAGTCGATATTTTTTCCTGCAAGCAAATATAAATTCTTATTGTATTCATTGCAATTTTTGTTAAATATTAAAATTTACGCAAAAAAATTTTTGAAAAGTTTTTGAAAACATAAGCCTTAATTAAAGTAATGATTTAAAATTAATTAATATAAATTAATAAATTTCTCTTTTAATCACTCAGTCATTTTAAAACTATACCAAAAATTACAATCACAACAATAAAAATTTGTTTAATGCAATGCAAAATTGTTTTTTTGTGAAAAAAATTGCACCACAAATATAATTTTTTGTTTTTATTACACTCTATGATAGACTATTTTTGCTGTAGTGCAACAAAAGATATTAACCCATAAAACCAGCAATTATTTTACTATTAATTATTTATGAATTTTATTATTTTATATATGTTCCAAATGAAAACTACTGCTTCCGTGCTATTTATAATAGGTAGCTCTACTAATAATACGCAACGCTTGTTTGTTGAATGTACTGCAGATTTGGTTGAGCTTGTTATATTGGAGGCAGTTAGTAATATCTCAATGCAATGCTGCTGAATTAGAATTGAAGTGGAACTACCAATAGTTTAGTTTGTTATTTGAATTTGGAAATTATAATTATATAATAATGTAAAAATTTGTTGTTGTTGTTTTTTTCTCATATATAAAACCTCTTTACTTAAATTACTTGAAGTATAAAAAGTAAGAAATCACCAAATCAAAGTAAGCCAAATTTGAAAGTTGTAAATTTGCTTTTATTTTTTAGCGAATGGATTTGTGAAAATAGAACAAAAGCGATTCCATTCTGTCACAAATAAAATATAACAATAAAAAA